ACACACACACACACACACACTTACAAACACACACATACACAAACACACGCGCATACATTCATATTCATGCACCGACACACTCCCACAGCAGGCACACACATACACAGATACGCGCACACACAGCACACCTACACACACATAACAGGGGCGTTGGGGGTTGGGGGATGTGGGGGCGGATGGGAGATGCTTCAGGGGTTGGGGGAATTTTTTTTTTTTTTTTTTTTTTTTTTTTTTGCCTAGGGTGACGTGTTTTGGACCTCGCGCATTAATTCCGTTTTTTCCGAAAAACGCAGGAGCGGCCCATTTTCGCGTTTAACGTGAATTCAACGGGATTTTTTGGACTTTAACGGGATTCAATGGAAGTTTAATTCCCCCGTTCTGCGTTAAAAAGATACACAGATGGAGTTAACATGGGTCTTGAATCGGTTCTCAATCTGTTATCCGAAAAACCTGTATCTTAAATGGACGGATGATGGCTCAGGTATCCTGGAGTTCTTGGGATGCGAAGTACGGTGCAAAAGCTCTTATCCTTACCTGGGTTGTGCTCAGCTGTCACGGAACAAAAGAAGCATTTGGTTTGCTGGGGAATTGGAATTTTTGAACGGTCAGTCCTTTTTGTCTTCGGGAAGCAAACAACAAAAGAGTGTTACTATTAGTAGCTACTTGCATTGTATTGAACAGAATACGTCACTCCGCAGCGAAATACCCGGACGAGTACTCTCACTGATGCGGGAGTTGAGGATTAAAGACTTTCCTATTGACTTCTTTAGGAGAATTCTGCGAGGATTTGCTTTCCACAAAGAAGAGATTTGGAAGCAGACTGTAATGATGCTCACTTGAAGCTAGGAACGATAGCCACGGGTTTTTATGGTTTACATGGTTTCACATGAATTTGTCCGAAGAATTAGTCAATGCAGATGAGGGTTTTCAGGATAGCGATATTTTGGGAATGTGTGAATTTAGCATTTGATTTGTAATGCGAACAGGGCTGAACCAGGTAGAATCTATGAATTTCCTCGTAGTAGCAAGTGGATTCAGAAGTTGAGGGGTTCTTAGGTTAGCGATGGTTTTGGAATATGTGTTTTTTAGCATTTGCTTGGAACGAATGTTAGTTATTACAGTGCTTTACCAATGATCGGACGCGTCTCACTGTTTGATTTTCGGACAGGGCTAGCCGGGGAATTTGTAAAATGTTTAGTGACTGTGAGTGATTTTCTAGAACAGTAGGGCAAGCTTTCAGGTTTATCTGGGCGAGGGATTCGAACCGTTACTATTTCGGATACCTTCGGGCCTTTCACGGGGGCCTGGTACAGGAACTAACCGATATCATTGTTGTTCTTCTTTTGGGAAAAGTCATGGGACGCAGTACTTTTACGACGGTTCTACACCTGTAATTACAGTAAGTATGATTAGTTAGTCCTCTTACGGGCCGCTCGACCCAGCGAATGCTAATAGTAGCACTAGCGAACGACAAGCACGGGTTTTGTGGAACGTATCGGCGGTTCCTAGGATGTGTGGACAGATGGTTATACTGTAATATTCTAATGATTGTACTTTGTCAATTTGCTTATTTACAACTATGTCGAAAGACATTGGTCAGTCGACCTCATTTTTTACTTGCGTTTTAACTTACTCTACGTGCAAATGCAACGTGGTACAAAAAATCCATCAACACCAATTTGTTCAGGCACAACCACTTGCTCTGAAAAATTACAGATGTGTACTTCACATAATAATAAACTTGTCAAAAAAAAATAAAAAAATAATAAAATGTTTTATGGTCTGCAATAAAGTAAAAACCAAAAGGTAAATAGAGAAAAAAAAAAAAAAGTCTGTGGCCGAGCACGTTTTGACACCGCTTTATTTGGCAATTTTTTATTTTTGTTTAGCTTAACAAAATAACTTTTAAATTTTTAGGCGTGCACCTCACATTATACAAAATTCAGAAAAAAACATTCATAAAAAACAATTATTTTCAGGCCCCTAAATAACTTTTCACGTGGGCGAAACGCTGTCAGGTTCGCACCCTAGACAAAACCCCGAACACCTGTATGTACGGAGGTCGGTCCAGGAACCTCCATGTGTACGAGTTGGTGACCATGCTTGAATTACTAGTGGTTGAAATTTTTTAGAATTAAGTTTTACATTGTTTTTGAAAATTATTGAACTACAATGTTCTTTGATTTGAGATTCTTTCGAATATCTATATATACATATATTTTATCAAAGCCAAATATATATACGATATGATTTTAATATATTTGAAAAATTTTAATGTCTCACATTTTCAAATATTATTTTCCATAATTTTAAAACAAAGAAGTAGTCAGCTTAAATTTTTTCGGTTTTAAACTATGCTACTAGAGTGGTCAGGGATCACTTGCCCGGCCGGGCCAAAAAATAAAAATAAAAACATTAGTTTTAAATCTAATTTTTTGTTGTAAATTTGGTGAAGCATTTCGATGTCACCTTGAGGCAGAAGTTGTTTAGTTTATTTTTCTGCATAACAAAGATTTTTTTCAGCTTTTTTTTTTATTGTTTTTTTGGGACCTTCCCTGGTCCTTACACGAGTTGGTCACCCGCAACCTAGGCGGCTTGGCTGGTAGCCCAGGTTTTAAAATAAATTTTCATTATTTTGAGAAAACTACGCTAACCAATAAGTATTTTCCCACATTTTCTCTTATTCAAAATTTGTTCGGATATTACGCATGTGCTGTATTCGAATTTTGCACGCTTGTCGTATTCGAATATATCATCCCTGTTTATATTCGAATATTTGTAAAGAAAATTACCTAAAAGGTGCGAATTAAAGGACAATAAAGTTTGAGGGATTAAAATTTTAAATTATCGATTTTTAACTACGTTACCGAACGTACACGTACGGGGCCTTTGCGTGAAAAATGTACAGATAATATCTGTACGGGAACCTGTGCGCCCCCGTACGTCCCCGTATGGGGGGGAGGAGAAGGAAGTCATCAAAAAAATCCGAAAAATTATACGTGTTGCAACATCACAAAAAAAACAACATTTGGTTGAGCACCATCTGCGGATTCTTATTTGAATTTGAGAAAAAAAATAAAAACCATTTATAAATATAAAAAAGTCGTACGGGTCCTAGAGTACGAGTAGCGTACGAGAAATGAGTACGACTTGTACCCGTACGGAGGTACGGAGGTAAATACAAGTCGAAACGTAGATTTATCAAAGTTTAATCAGTATAAAAAGAAAATGATTAAAAAAACAACTCAAACTAATAGTATGTAATCAAGGCATTTCTTGGCGCGATCAAAACCGGTTCCACGCGGGGAAGGTGTCAAGAAATCGGAAAAATTCTTCCTAACAAGAACACCCTTGCCACGTACCACGGAAAACGACTCAAATTTTAAGTTAAAACTAAAACAATATTTTTTATTTAAAGAATATAAATTATAAAATTTTGATAATTTTTCTCTGGCTGTGTTTTCCTCCGTCGGTTTCACCCACAGGGGATCTTAAAAAAAAAAAAAAAAAACCATCCAACTTTGGTCCCGAGGTCACCTGACCGAAGACGTTCAGTTCGGGAGGTAAAATTAAAACAAGCTTTGAAACCCTTTATAAAAAATATTTTGAACTAATTAACTAAAAAGGGTTCCAAGTGACAGGGTTTTCTTTTTGCGCGCGCCCCGCACGCTCACAACCGAACCTTTTAGTTCGAGGAAACTTCACACGGCTTTGCTTGGTCGTGTAACCAAACTTTCTGATAATTTTTTTTTTTTTAATTATCCTCGTAGGCTACCAGCCGGGCCGCCCGGGTCCCGGGTGGCCAGCGCGTGCAAGGATCAGGTAAGGTCGAAGCAAGAAAAAAAAAAAAAAAAAACAAATCCAAAAATTCTGGAAAAAAAACTTTGTTATGCAGAAAAATAAACTGAACAACTTTTGCCTCAGGGTCACATCGAAATTCTTCACCAAATTTAAAATAGAAAATAAAATTCAAATATATATATATATATATATCGTCACAAACAGAAATATATATATATATATATATATATATATATATATATAATTATTTTGGCCCGGCCGGGCAACTGTCCCCGGGCCACTCTGGTAGCCTAGCTTTTTTATAGAATAAATTTTAATAAAGAAAATCCAAATATCATCAATTCAGATTCATTTAGTGGGGACTGTTGGGGCTCGTACCAGACGCGTACAGTGCCGGATGAGTTGACCAAGCTCATTGAGGGGAACGAAAACATTGTTAACACATCTTCTGAGATAACAAATACCTGAAAGCCAATTCCGAAGAGAGAGGTGATGATATGATATCGAGTTCGGAAGGGCGAAGCTCACACACAAGACGGTTCTCATTGGCTAATCAGGGCTTCACAGCGCCCTGCAAAGTTCACCGCAGGAGATATACAGTAGAATACTTTCACGTGAGGGCGGCAAATCCCGCATAGACATTTCAACTCCCTCCTTACAAGAGAGAACTGATTTGCAATAAGGAATCCCTCCACTTCCCCCCCCCCCAAAAGCGAAAAAAAAAAAAAAAACTGACGAACGAACTAATTCCAAGACAACGGGCCATGCCGCCCTCCTGGTTTTCTACCCACGCGTAAAGAAGCATAACTCCTCCTGGTTTTCTACCCACGCGTAAAAAAGCATAACTCCTCCCACATCACGGGTTGAACTGACCTCGAAAGATGATCAACAAATCCATGAGGGCAGACATTACAAAAGAAAAGACAGAGAGAGAGAGAGAGAGAGAGAGAGAGAGAGAGAGAGAAAGAGAGAGAGA